ATACAAGGCCCTGTGCAGCCACTGTCGTCAGACAGGTCTGTTTTAAATATTCATTTGTTTATTTATCTTAAATACACATAGGTCAAGTACACATACAAATGGAACAAAAACAATGTTGTGCCACATGTGTGCTTGTAAATGTACATACATTTTTAAATGATAAGGCCATTCATACAAAATGGTAATAAAAACACAAAGATACCAACTGTTTACTTGTCAATAATGGATGACAAAGCCGTGATTAGTGTTTGCATCAACACAAGTGGAGCAGAAGGAATCAGAAGTCTTTCTCCTACAGCGCTGGGCCGTCTCAGCCTCTTGGTGATTATCTGCCACTTTACAAACAGCCGTGCCTTTGATTAGGTAATTATGAGTGTCAAGCAAAGCATTGGTTTTGTTGAAGGAGTAACGTCTAAGAGCTGACAAATAACACTTACATCATTGCACTTGCTGCTGCTCACTGCAGTCCACCCTGCACCAAAGGCTTATTATGTTATTAGGTCCTCTATTCTTCACTCAGTCCCAGAGCCTGTTTGATTACTTCTGCTCGTCCAAGGGAGTTGACATTTATCTGTCAAACATGGGCCAGACCCCAGAGCACATGGGGTCCGCGGCCCATTCTTATTCAATTGTAGACTGTGACACATTCTGGCACTTGTTTGAAACTGAGCAATGGCCAAAGAATCCCTGTGAGCCGAGAGTTTAGTGAGGTCCTCGATGCAGAGTTATGGCATGTGTTAGTGGCCTCGAGTTCTTATACTTTTGTTTATGTTTTGGACATTTGGATTTCCCACTGGATAAGATGGAGCAAATCAGCAGTAATGTTTAACAGGCGACTCAGGCAAAGGACAGGCCAGACCAGCAGAGAAGAAACCTTTTATGTGCAATCCCACATGCATCTTGTGTGCCGTTTTCAATCGAATGTGATGGCAGTTCTTGTTCATTTGAATTTGAAGATACATATTTGAACACACACGTATTCACAGCTTGTGGCACATAGATTAAAACTGTACATGAGGCTGAGTGCAGGTGCAACCATCCGAGGAACTGTCTGCAAAACCCCAAGAGGAGGCGCTTCCACCAGGTCCAAGAGCCAGACCCCACAGCCGACCACTGCTCCCCGTGCAGAGGGAACACTGTCGGTAAAATTTAAATATTTAAATGATAAAGTTTAGGACTATGGCACAAAAAATAACAGCGTATGTCTAAATGCGAAATAAATAATTATGATAAAAGGTAAAATACAGTAATATAAAGGGTCTAGTCAGTACTGTGATGGGAGACCTCTGGGAAAACACCAAGTGCCACAGTGAGGCGGCTGTAAAGTTCCAAACTGTGGTTGTGTCCTTAGGCAAGACACTTCCCCCACATTAGAATGAGTCTGGTGTTTGTCTGAATGGTTGGTGGTGGTGGGAGGGGCCGATGGCACAGACTGGTTGCCTCGCTTCTGTCAGTGCGCCCCAGGGCAGCTGTGGCCACTGTAGTATGTGAAGTGTCTTTGGGTTTCCAGAAAAGCGCTGTATAAAACCCACGTAGACCAGGGGAGACATGTATAGCATGTATAAATGGAAAATTCTTAGTAGAAAAAGATGATTGAAAAGTCCATATTGCTTCATGTGTCACCTTTAACATTTTTATGTCCACACCAAACCAACTCTCGTAACACATATCTAACTCTAGCATGGTGTTAGTCAATATGATAGAAGCACTTTTCATGTTCCAGCTCCCTCTGACATATTACTAACAACTTTTTAAATTATACATTTCCAACCCTCTCCCTTTGAAACATTGTAACTTTGAAGGGTTGCGCTCTCTTGCACGTTTTAAATAGTTTCACATTTCTTAAACCAATTTAGATTAGCTTCCACAGTCGTTCTACTAACTACAAACACCAGACACTTGACTCGTTTTTTAAATTACTTGATAAGCCAGGCCAAAAGCAAAGCAAGCCGCCGCAGTCTGAGCCCACAAGAGGTGAGCTTTATGAATGGGGAGAGCTGTTTCCCCGTCCAGTTAGTGAAGCCGTGGGGGGGAGCGGCGGGGGAGGGGGGCAGCACTCCAGATAAGGTTACCCACAGAGATTAGCAGACAAGAGAGGGAGTGAGAAAAACAAGCAAGTTAAAGGTTTTGGTTTACCCGGCTCACCAGGCCTGGCAGCCAATCAAAGAGCGCTGGACCTGCACAAGGAACTGCAAGGGCTTGTTCTTGAATGGAGCAGAATATGGAGGTTTTAATCTGGAGCTTGTTGTCGCACTGTTGTAGTGTATTTGTGATTTTGGGATTATGTGTCTATGTGTTTGATGTGTTTTTTTTGCATTTCTCCTACAGGGGTACTCCATCCAGACTTTTAAACAAAGCTCTTAGGATTGCCAATGACTCTTCTGGCCACCCTGGGAAAGCCATGTTCCAGCTTCTTCCCTCTGGCAGAAGATATTGCTCTCTGAGATGCAGGACATCTCGTTACGCTAACAGTTTTTATCCACAAGCTGTTATCAGTGTGAACAGAGCACTTTAATGATTTGCAGTTGTTTTGAAACTGTTTTAATCGATCAATTTCACAGTGACATTTGTTTACTGTTTTATTTGTTTTATTTCTGTCTTTTAATGTTGTTTTATGTCTGTATTTGTCTGTGCACACTGGTGACTTTTGCTAATGTATTCCAATGTGGTGTTTTTACTGCAAATGGCAAATTGGAATCGAATCGGAATCGGGTCATTAAAGTATCTATATTTTATTTAACTTTTATTTAACCAGGAATGACGCATTGAGATTAAGAATTACAGATTATTAAAACAGTTATATACAATTACAGATTATACAAACAGTTACATACAATTTCATAAAATTACGGATAACAAATACCGGTACATTGTCACGTAAGTATCCATCTATTTACGTGCAATAATAAAGTTGATTAACAAACACGTGAAAGTTCTCTGGGATGGATTTGAAAGATGAGAGGTGTCCTATTTTTTCCCTTTTGTGGTTTTGTTGTTGATAAAACAAAATTCCAATGAGTAACTGCCTTTTCTAATGTTCACCAGTGAATCATCATGATTGTGTTCTATTGGAACAGTTAGCGTTTATACCAGTTTGGAGCAACTGTAACTATGAATGCAGTAATTCATTATGATTTCATTCTTCAGTTGATGATGAGTTCATGGTGATACATGAACTCTCCAAAGTCATGATGAAAACCAGAGGCAACAAGGGCTTAACATTCACTGTAACGACTCATTTACTATAGTGACTCATCATGAACTATAGTGACTCATCATGAACTATAGTGACTCATCATTAACTATAGTGACTCATCATGAACTATAGTGACTCATCATTAACTATAGTGACTCATCATGAACTATAGTGACTCATCATTAACTATAGTGACTCATCATGAACTATAGTGACTCATCATTTAGTGTAGTGACTCATCATTAACTATAGTGACTCATCATGAACTATAGGGACTCATCATGAACTATAGTGACTCATCATGAACTATTATAGTAATGCCGTCCATCCATCCATTTTCTTCCCCTTAATCAATTTCTGGGTCAGGGGGTGGCCGTCAGAGCTGCACCCAGTACACAGAGCACCAGCCCCTCACTGATCCTCCTGCAGGTGGTGAGTCCACAGCAGCTGAGATCTTTAAGCGGGGGCTTCAGACAAAGTGGGGTTAAGTGTCTTGCCCAAGGACACAACGACATCAGACATCAGTGGGAGTTGTGAAGTAGGTCTTTTGGTGGGCTCAAACCCACAACCATCAGGCTCTAAGGCCAATGCCCTACCAACTGAGCCACTGTCACCAAGGTTTAATAGTAATGCATTGGTTTTATATCATAATTAACTCATGATGAAAGACTATGGATGATGACCCATCATGATCTATCCATCATTATGAATTAATGCAATAATAAATGTCTAATTATTATAATATTTTACCCATTTTGGTATTTGAGACAATTGTGAGGATATATTACAAACAAACAATGGAGTGTGTGTGTTTTTCTTCTAATAAAAAAATCAATACTGTTTTGTTTGGATCTAACGCCACATTGTCTCACTATAATATGACGCAAATTGAGGTAAAAATGATTAAGAATACAGTTAACCCATCATGGAACAAGTAAGTAAGTAAGTAATATTTATTTATATAGCGCCTTTCACAGACCAGTCACAAAGCACTTTACAATTGTGGGCAAAGTATTCTTCATCTGCATAAAACTGGGTCTTGAGTTCAGTCCCATGTGTGTATATATTCTTTTGGTTGTGCGCTTTTTCTGCTGTATCTCAACCACTATTCAATTTCAATTCCATTTTTTTTTTATTGCCCTAAATCAAAGTAGTTATCTCGGAGGACTTGCCCACACAGATCAGAGAATCAAACAGTTCAAATGCAAAAACAAACACATAGAGCCGCACCGGTGTTACGTTTTGGATTTATTTCCGGTTTTGTTTGTAATTTCTTAACCCCTGTGTCTTCTTTAGCTGTTCTCCTTCTTTAGTGCCTGCCCACATGTGTTCCACCTGTGTCTCCTGTATTTCAACCCTGTGTATTCCTCCTCTCCCTGTTCCGTCAACCTTTTCATTCTTGTTATCGGTCCCTTTTTTGGATACGTGCTTTCATTTTGCCCCCATGACAATTGATCCATAAGGGGCAAATCTCCAATGTCCATAAATGCTGACAAATGTTAAACATCCTGGATCATCACGTCCTGAGACCTTCCTTCACATTATTCAGGACATTATTCTACTTTCAGGACAGAAAGGGAATCATGCAAGATTGAAACACATTGTGCCTGCTCCAGTGAAAGTGCTAAAAAACAGAAAAAACCTAAACTAAAGTAAAATAGCATTGACAGGAGTGTGGGAATCTCACAGAGGATATGTCAGTGAGGCTATAGGAGGAGGCGGGATAACGCTCGGCTCTTCAAAGGGCCTTAGTGGCCATTTAAGAGCTGACAAAAGAAGTTGGCAGATCAGTAAGTGAAGCCCAATGTACTACATTAGTGTCAGGACCCCCTCGGCGACCCTCCCACTTTGCACTTTCATCTCTGACACCAACATATTGACTCGGGGCAAAGGAGGGGGTGAGCGCGTCCCATTCAAGAGCCAAGGTGAGGCGATTGAAGCCGCGGGGCGACCACTGACTCATACACGCCACCCAGAATCCTTTAAACTGGAAGTCACAGCCGGGCGAGCGTGTGAAGGGCCCGACAGCACTGCCCTCTTCCTCTCATCTCCCTCGGAATCAAGCCTCACCCCATTAGAGGAGGCTGACCCCACACCCCGCTGCACAAACAGAACCAGCGGCGGGCCACAGCCACAGCGGGGTCACGACACCTTGACTTTGTTGAGGGTGCCACTCGCGCCCCCCACCCCCTGCCCCAGGCCTTTCAAGTGTCACCTGAAGCAGAGGGAGGAGAGCGAGGCCTGGGAGATCGTAGTCATTTGTCCAGCGTCACACGTTGTTTGCATGGAGTCATTAAGGCCATTTAGAGGTTTGCCCTGAAGGGAAGAAGAGCGAGCCGTGTTTAGAGAAGATCGAGCGTGAGCTAATGTGCCCATCTTTAACAGATCTGTGGATTTACGGCGGAACATGAGCTGTCCACGCGCCGCCGAAATGCACTTTTGGTTGTGGCTATTGAAAAGAGAGAAAGTACCACATCCAAAACCGTAGTTATCCAGGAGTTTTACGAAGCTGTCGATGGAGAATCAACCAGTTCAAGCAGGCAATGCAATGTTAAAACAATTCTCTGCATTCAAAACACATAAGTATGTAAGTAATTTTTTTCACTCAAAAAGCACTTTTGTTCAGAGTTCAGATATTGCTTCATTTTCTCCACACGGCGATGACGGAAGCGAGACGCCGAACACACTGGACCATCAAAAGCTCCGACAAAACACCCTCCATTCACTCACTTTTAGTGGTAGGGGAAACAGGAGCACCCGGAGGAACCTTACGCACACACGGGGAGAACATGTAAAATCCACAGAGAAAGGCTTAGAGGTGGAATTGAAGCCTTCTTGCGCTGAAATACAAGCTCTAACCACTGCGCCACATAGAGCCATTGGTATTGTATTGACAGGGACTTTACAAAGTTGTCGATTCACCAACACAGATCAGAGAATCAAACAGGAAATGCAATGAGAAAAAACCATGGTCCATAAATGTTGATAAATGTCCATAAATCTTATATGTTGGGGATTGGACTGTAGATTTTATACACGTTTGCCACAGACTTTGTTCAGAATATTTGACTGAACAGTGAAATACTTTGCACAGTTGGTGTTAAGTCTGAAACCAAAACCAGGTGGAAAAGTGTCATATGGTTTGAAGACCGCATGTTCTGGTTTACTTCAGGTTTTGTCGTCTACAGAAGTGACAAATCTGAGTTCAGATGAATATAATATCATTCAAAAATGACAGAAATTCTTGTAATGTATTAAAATAGTGTGTGTGTGTTTGTGTTTGTTTTGTGGACATATGAGGACTTTTGTATGATATACACATCTTCAATATGGGGACTTGAGGAAATACGGGGACTTTTTGTGTGTGTGTGCGTGTGTGTTTATAACAACATAACACAAGATTTGACACATCAAGGCTTCCTTCAGTTCCACTGCTCATTTCAGTGGTCCGCATTTCCACCAAGCACAATTTGTGAAGCTGATAAAATGATTTCATGCGATCACAGATACAGATCCAGGTCAGTAATAACATCAAACCAACATTACATTCAGTCTGTCGGGAGTTTAGTTTCTCCCGTCATTAGTAAAATCCGAACTATTTTAAAAACAGCGTTAGGTGGATGTCCGTCACATATGTTCGTCTAACCGTGTCCAACCACATTTATGGACATCGGTCTCTGCTGGTTATGGACCAATGGCTCGATATGTTTTTCATATCTGTGTTTCCTGTGTTTGATTCTCTGATCTGTGTTGGCAAATCAACAGTTTTGTGAAGTCCTCCGAGATATCTACTGTTGTGATTTAGGGCTGAACTTAATTGGTGGAATATGCACGTAGAAACACACATACGATAAAATTGACTATTATTGAATATTGTAAATAACCAACCAACCTTTGTTGCCTTTTCTTCTCCATTCCAGTACTTTATCTTTTTTCTATAACTTAATTTGAGTGAATTGAACTGGAGCCTTTAAAAGCATCATCCAGAAACACACATACAGTACTTTATCCTGTCCTCTAAAAACATATGGACGATTTCTTTTTTTTAAGATTAAGATGAAGAGATTCTTTATTCATCCCACAGTGAGGAAATGTCAGTGTTGCATCATCATTTACAGAACAGAAGGAGCACACACCACAAGATAAATTACACATTCTGACATTTTTAAGTTGTTTGATAATAAGCTATTATTTGACAGCTGAGTAAAGTGAGGTGACAGTGACGTGCAGATAATGTTTTGTTATTCTGGGATCAGCTCTTACTTCTACTGCTGCTTATTGTGTGATGAATCTGCGGCATAAAAGTAAATTATGCCCCGAGGTCAGTTCAGACCAGTTTTTCATTTCATAAAACTGATATCATTCTCAAACAAACTATTTACCATCGACTCCCACTGGTTCGACTCACCCTGGACTGCTGCCAGAGAGACCTGCAGAACCACAAATGTATCTCCCCTCACAGTCCAACGTGTGCAGTATCTTCACTACGCTGCAGCTCGAGTCCAGACTTGAACCAGGAAGTACCATCACATTAGTCCTGGTCTCAGGTCTCTGCACCTGTGGCTCGGAGAATAGACATTAACCCTTTAATAGTTTCCTCAACCATTTGGTGGATCACCTTTTGAGTCAAAATACTGTTTCTACTTAAAACTGAAATATACCTCAGGCTGTTATACCATCAACCATTTGGTAAAGACCTGCATTTAAAAACAGAATAGGGGTTCAAATAAAAAGAAAAAGGTTCAAACTAATTATTTGTGTTATCAGTGCTCCTATATCTTAGAAAATTCCCCAGAAAATTAAGTTGCTTTCTTCAAGGAGTGAATGATAAAGGGTTAAAGCAGTTCTGTTTGTTACAAGTCTCTCCATGACCTCGGACCGAAAGTACATCTGTGACATGGAAGCTGAGGAGCACAGGGACTGGCCTCCTGCTGGGACTCTGAGGAGCACAGGGACTGGCCTCCTGCTGGGACTCTGAGGAGCACAGGGACTGGCCTCCTGCTGGGACTTGGAGGAGCACAGGGACTGGCCTCCTGCTGGGACTCTGAGGAGCACAGGGACCGGCCTCCTGCTGGGACTCTGAGGAGCACAGGGACCGGCCTCCTGCTGGGACTCTGAGGAGCACAGGGACCGGCCTCCTGCTGGGACTCTGAGGAGCACAGGGACCGGCCTCCTGCTGGGACTCTGAGGAGCACAGGGACAGGCCTCCTGCTGGGACTCTGAGGAGCACAGGGACCGGCCTCCTGCTGGGACTCTGAGGAGCACAGGGACCGGCCTCCTGCTGGGACTCTGAGGAGCACAGGGACCGGCCTCCTGCTGGGACTCTGAGGAGCACAGGGACCGGCCTCCTGCTGGGACTCTGAGGAGCACAGGGACCGGCCTCCTGCTGGTTCCAAGAGTCAGGACTAAACATGAGCAGCGTTTCAGATTCATGCAGCTAACATTTTGAACAGTCTTCCTGAAAATGTGAGACAGGCTTCTTCTCTGACATTGTTCAAATTCTTATCTTCACTCCTTTTAATGCACTTTGATTATTTAGGATTTTAATTGCATGTTTCTATCTTGTTGTAGCCTGGCCTTATCCCTCCGTACACTCCGGTCAATCATCATTTCCTGCATGTAACGTCTGGGTCTGGTCCCTGTGTTTGCGATTACAATTTATTTGATTGTAGCTCGTTACATATGCTGTACTGCTCACTGGTTCTCCCATATTTCAGTTACTGCACTGAAATCTGGGGTAATACATATAGCACCAACACCAAACCCTTGTTTTTGTTGCAAAAAAGAGCTATAAGAATTATTAACAATAAACATTATAGAGAGCATACAAACATCTTGTTTATAGCATCTGGACAACTCAAGTTTAAGGATATTGTTGATTTGAAAATCTTGCTCCTTGTGTGGAAAGCTAAACAGAAAATGTTGCCCAATTATGTGCAAGATCTATTTTGCGTGAGTGATGGACACAGAAGAAAACACAACTTCCGAACCAAATTTGCCAGGACAACACTGAAACAGAAATGTCCCTCAGTTTATGGAGTTAAACTGTGGAACTCCTTGAATGAAGAACTCAAAGTTTGTAAAAGTGTGTGGAAGGTCAAGAGAATGTATAAAGTAAAAATTTTGAATGAATATAATTTAGGTTAAAAAAGAGGATTGTATCTGACGAAATGTGAGACATTGAGGACTGTTGATGCGTTGTGCAATTGGTGACTTGGGTTTTGGTGTTTGGGGTTTAAATTGGGAAATTCAATTTGCTTTCCTTATTTTATTTTATTGTTTTTGTACAAAGGACAGGATATACAAGATTTATCTTCTTTCTGTTCCTTTTGTTCAGGTAAAAGCATGTATGAATGTGTCAACTGCAAACTGATTATGAAAATTGCTTGAACAATAAACATAAACATAAACATAAACAATCAGTTGAATTCCATCCGACCAATCAGAGAGCGCAGGAGGCGGGTGTTGTAGTTAGTTGTGGGTGACGTCAAGAGTTTGCGCCGAACGGGCAGGTTGTAGTCTGACAATGGTGAAAAATGCGATAGTAAAGTAATCCGATCTGGTTCTATCAAGAAATTGAAGCCGGAGCAAGAGGAATGTTTAGCAAATGTAATTGGCTAGGCTAAATGCTAACAACTCACTAGGGCGCATTACAAACATCACGGTAAACTCAGATCAAACCGTTTCAATCTGCAAAAGGAGTTAACCCCTCACACCTGTTAACGGAGCTTAATGGATCACCTCCAGACCTTAGTACGACATGTAATTTGTACCATGGTGTGGTACGACCAGGCTAATCTTGTTGTGTTCCTTTGACTTTCCTTGTGTCTGAACTGCGCCATACAGATAAACTGTCCTCTGAACCGCAGGTGGGCTCATGTCCTGGACGCACGGGTCTCAAACCTGTGCTTAGCCCAGCGATGACAGCTCCAAACTCACTCTCCTCTAATGACTGTTTATCAGGCCGCTCTCTGTCAGGTGTCCTCACTCAGGTGTCCTCACTCAGGTCCTCACGCTGGAATCTTTATCGCCGATCGGACAGAACCAAACCCACCGCATCAAACAGAACCGGTGTTTGTCATTGTCCCATTATGTTCTGGATAATTACAGTTTGCTTTTGTTGCTGTTGGCGCAGCTTTGACTCACGCTCGGTGACACTGACTCCATTGGTCCAAAGGTTTATGAGCACTTTTTTATACCTTTTTGGTGAAACTCAACCGATGTTTCTTTTTCAAACTTAAAGCTGAGGTACCTACGTTTTGTCTTTAACACTAGAACTTCCAGAGCAGTCGATTTAACGGCTTTTACTTTTGGATGTGG